TCGCACGTTGCTTCTAGTGCAGTTTGCACTTAAATATAAGAAATAGCACAAACGTCTATGGTTTTTGCTCGCTTGGATAATAAAAAATTCGAAAGTGGCGCTTGATGAGCGCCAACAGAACTTGCTCTCTCACACTCCGTCCCTCACTTGTTTTTGCCACGATGTATTATAGTAAAAAAAAGCGCGCGCTTACTGCGCCTCTTAACAGTCGTACACGCATTACAACTTGTTAGAAAAGGATGGTAAATCTGCTGTACAATTCATATTATCGGTCTAAAACGTATGTCTTAGCTTTTCTTCTGTCAGAATTTGACAGTTAAAATAGGTAGAGGTGGAGACATCTACCGGTGGGCGATATAACAAAACGCCTGAATATTAAACCACTCGATTTTAAAAATGAGTCATTCCCAAGTACGAGTATATGTGGTTCGTAGTATAGCTCTCGTGTTTTCTGACCTTCAAGGTCAAACGACGGGGTTCATTCCTGAACTCAATGTCACTGAAGGCGGTGCGAGGTTCGTTCCTGAACTGGATGCTACTGAAGGTCGTCGACGTAGGTCACTGAAGATCAAACGTAGACGCGGTTATTCCAATGGCCCTGACGACCGAATGTGAAGGTGAAGGTGAAATAGAGGGTACACAAAATGTATAGCCGATTCAAAAAACAACTAAAGATCAAACGGGTTGTTCTTACCTGAACTACAGCAAAATCAAGGTTTCTGAAAATGTAATTCGATCGTATGGTCAATTCTGTGAACGGGATTTCCTGACGGCAGTGAGACGCCTTGACCGACTCTCACCGCCTTCAGTGACATTGTGTTTAGGAATGAACCTTTAATAGGTTTTTAGTTTGGACAACAACCACGAAGACCTTCAGTGGCATTAGTTCAGGCAATAACCCTACTTAGTTTCGACAAGAACCACGGTGACCTTCCGTGAGATTGAATTTAGACTTCTCGAGACATGGAGCAGAATGTTTTTTTTTTAAAACAGTTGGAGACTGTTCTTAGCCATGCACTTTTGGAAAAGAATGTTAGAATTGTGAGGGAAAAGGGCACTTAGTTAGAAACTGTCGAAGGTCAAAGGGTATCCATTGCTATTGGTGTGGTGTTACGGATGTGACTACACAAAATTACCAATGTCGCTCGGGAAACGACCTTTTCTTTCCCTTTTCACCGAGTTCCTCCCTCCTTAAAAACAAACGATACTCCCTCGACCACTAAAAAAACATGTAACATTTGGCCATGATAGCAGTGATGCCCAGCTCTCAAGGTAGAAGCAGGTACCATGAAGAACAGCACGCCTTTAGCTGTAGAAAAAGAGGACACCGTTGAAAACTAATGGTTGACGGCATTGACTAATGAAATTCACACTATCAAGACTATTGTGACAAAGAAACAGCCCCGTTGTTAGAATTGCGAAAAAATGAGGCATTTTAATCTTCAGTGACCTACGGCTACGACCTGCAGTAGCATCCAGTTCAGGAACCCCACCGCGTTCAGTGACATTGAGTACAGGAATGAAATCCACCGTTTGGCCTTCAACAAGTTTTTAGTTTAGACAACAACCACGATGACCTTCAGTGATATTAGTTCAGACAAGAACCCTAGTTAATTTTGACAAGAACCACGAGGTCCTTCCGTGACATTGAGTTTAGACAAAAACCACGCTTGAAATTTTGAACATTTTCGTTCTCGAGACATAGGACAGATTTTTTTTTTCAAAAATTGAGCATAGTGGGAGGCCGTGCACTTTTGAAGTAGAATGTTTGAATTGTGAGGGAAAAGAGTACGTAGTTAGAAACTGTCAAAGGTCAAAGGGTATGGACTGCTATCGCTGTGGTGTTAACGATGTGACTACACAAAATTGCCAATGTCGCTCGGGAAACGAGTGGAAAGGTAAGGACAAGCAGGCTGAGCCATCAGGATAACTGGAACTACATTTTTCCTTCCCCTTCTCACCGAGTTCCTCTCTCCTTAAAAACAAACGATGCTCCCTTGACCACTAAAAAAACATTTGGCCATGAAAACAGTGAGGCCCGGCTCTCAAGGCAGAAGCAGCTCAAGGTACCATGAAGAACAGCACGCCTTTAGCTGTAGAAAAAGAGGACCCCGTTGAAAACTACTAGTTGACGGCATTGACTGATGAAATTCACACTATCAACGCTATGGTGACAAAGAAACAGCTCCGTTGTTAGAATTGCGAAAAAATGGGCCATTTTGATCTTCAATGACCTACGTCTACGACCTTCAGTAGCATCCGGTTCAGGAACGAACCCCACCGCCTTCAGTGACATTGAGTTCAGGAATGAAACCCACCGTTTGATCGTTTTTAGTTTAGACAACAACCACGATGACCTTCAGTGATATTAGTTCAGGCAAGAACCCTAGCTAGTTTTGGCAAGAGCCACGATGCACTTCCGTGACATTGAGTTTAGACAAAAACCACACTTGAACTTGGAGCTAGCGCAGATTTTAAGGTCCATGTGAGCCAGAACCGGCGTTGTTTACCTACTTTTCGCGAAAATTGTTGGTTCTCGGAACAGAATTTTTTTGAAAAATTGAACACAGTGGCAGACCGTTCTTAGTCTCGCACTTTTGAAGTAGAATGTTTCAATTGTGAGGAAAAAAAGCACGTAGTTACAAACTGTCGAAGGTCAAAGGATTTGCACTGCTATCGGTGCGGTGTTAAGGATGTGACTACACAAAATTGCCAATGTCGCTCGGGAAACAAGCGGAGAGAAAAGGGACCCGTCGACTCCCCGGGGTCTCTGTACCAGCAAGATAACTACACTTTGCCTCCCCCGAGTTCCTCTCTACTCGACTCTTTTGGCTTCGCACTAAAGGTCAACTGTTAAAATTATCGTGATCGGAATGTTCTCATTGAAAATTATCCGTTGCGCCAGCTTGTTTCTTTGAGTGTCCTAAAAGACTTGAAGCAGAGACAAAGAGACGTTGATTGAAGTAAGTGTGGAAAACGTATTACCGAGAATGTAAACTTTTGAGCAAGTTAAGTGACGTATCCTTGCGTCATGCATTGTAGTAAAATGCTCCTTGTTATAATCCAACGATGCTCCCTTGACCGCTGAGAAAAACATGTATAACATTTGGCCATGACACGAGAAAGTAGAGCTTCAGCTGTAGAAAAAGAGGGCATCGTTGAAAACTAATAGTTGATGGCATTGACTGATGAAATGCACGCTGTCAGGTGACAAAGAAACATTGACATTGAATCAGGGAATGAAATCCATCGGTTGACCTTCAATAAGTTTTTAGTTTAGACAACAACCACGATGACCTTCAGTGATATTAGTTCAGGCAAGAACCCTAACCACGATGCACTTCCGTGACATTGAGTTTAGACAAAAACCACGCTTGAACTTGGTGCATGCGCAGATTGTAAGGTCATAGTGGGAGCCCGTGCACTTTTTGAGTAGAATGTTTGAATTGTGAGGGAAAAGAGTACGTAGTTAGAAACTGTCAAAAGTTAAGGGTTTGCATTGCTATTGGTGCGGTATTAACGATGTAACTATACAAATTGCCAGAACCGTTCGGGAAACGAGCGGTTGGTTGAGGACCCCGCCAACTCCACGGAGTCTCTGAGTCCTCACGATAACGGGAACCTTTTCACCATTTTCTGTAGAAAAAGAGGACACCGTTGAAAACTAATAATTGACGGCATTGACTGATGAAATTCATGCTGTGAAGGCTATCAGGCAAGAACCCTACTTAGTTTTGACAAAAACCACGATGATCTGCAGTGACATTAGTTCAGATTATAAAAGACTTGGAATCTGAGGGCGCTATCGAGCCATCTAACTTGGCTTCGCCTGTGGTATTGGTTAAAAATAGGTATGGATCAAGGATAGATTTTGCGTGGAAAATCGTCGCCTCAACGACGTGACTAAAAAAGATACCTATCCACTTCCATGAATTACCGAAAAGCTTGATACGCTATCCGGCCCCAAGTTGTTCTCGGCTTTGGATTTATCAAGCGGTGGAAAGCGAGTGAGAAAGATGTGTATTGTTCCGTGCGAAAGAGAAAGACGCATGTGCTGTTTCCTTAATTTTAATTAAGGGTACTTTTGACTTAATTTTTTAGGCAACCCATTTACAATGTGTTTGTTTACATATCAAAATTGCTAAAAAATGTCGGTAAACAGATGAGCGAAGGTTAATCTTATGTGGGATGCCAATACGACATCCAAGTGGTCATGACACCGTCATAGATGAAAGGCATATAAGCACACCAATTAAAAAAATGGTTCATCAATAACGGAGATAATCGACTTTTTACTTACCCTGTATAACATCCACCTGCGTCTGCCGGGTAAATCTAATTCTATAATCCTTTCTGGTTTCGAATAGTAATGCGGCCCAAAAAGAGTCGATATCCCCTTTAGACCGTAATTGCTCACCCCCCGAATTTTAAGTGTATCGTTAATACAAAATCGATAAAAGTAAGTGAAAAAGAAAATTCCCCATCAACGTTTTATAATGGTGCCCGTTATTTCATCCGAGAGCGGGGCTTCTATTATGATAATGGGTCTCATCATAGCTGTTGAACGTAGCGAGAGTGTTAGTCTGTATAAAGTGCCTTCCCGAAAGCTGATATTTACATCCTAATAACGCTTCGCTACAAGTTGCTTTTTCGCTACTTCAAGACGCCGGTCGGTCGCTACCACCCCCCGAGGGCGAAAATGTAAATTTAATTTCGTAGTTGTCGGAGAGCTTCGCGAGGAGAAGGCCTACAACTGTTTTTTTTTCTTCTCTGTGCGCGCTCGCCGCTCTTCGCTAAAAAAAAGGGCGCAAACAAAACGAGCGTCACTCTCTTAGGGCGAGAATGCATAATTACATTTTACAGCTTAATGAGTGCCGTCGCACTACGCCTACGTCCGACTACGCAAATTGTTTCAGATCATTAAATTACGAGCATTAGCGCTACGTCCATTAACGTTACAACCCTGCAAGACGAAAAAAAAAACGTCGAATGGCACTCACCCCGTATGGCCGCGTCCTGATGGTGGTGACAGTCCGACACGTGACATCCTCTCCTCTGCTGCAAGCTCGGACAGTGTCGTCCGCCATTTTGCGGCTGAATTTGTACGGAACGCGATCGCGACATCATCCCAGGACCGCAATCGGTGTCGCACGTCGACCAGGCGCCCCAAGGCGTCACTTGACAGTCCACCACTGCAAAACAAAAGCGTTACACATCAATACGCAACCCTCATCTCTTCACAGAAGTTTCGCCGTAAGTTTACTAAGTATTAAATCCCTACGTTATTGGTGTAATTATTTTAGTCTTACATGTATCTAACGTCAATAAAGTTATCCTCAGGGGTGCCTTTGTATCTCCCTTCATAGGCACGCATTTGTTCGAATTACATCTTGTAAATGTTTCAGCCGAAAATTAAGGTGGAACTAAACACGCAAACGAAAGAAGTATAACTTAATGGCGCCATCATGTCGTATACGGCCTGAAGCGTACATTATTCTAGAATATTCTCGAAAACCTTTCTTAATCAATCTGTTTATGCATTACTTCCTGTGGCTGATTTAAACAAAGAACAGAAGCGTTACCGGCAAAAATTTAAGTTGACAGGTGGGAAAGGCAAATCCTTCCTGGAGAACTCGCATACGCCCCTAAGGAAATTCACCATAGCTAGCAGTGACAAAAGTAAAAGGGAATTAGTACCAAAAACGACCACACGACAGGTAGTTTTCGTGCATTCGAGGGGAAAGAAATTTAGAATCCAAAAAATATTACGGAGGCGAATATTCCTTCCGAAATTCCCACTGGAACGGGAACAGGAAAAAACGGTACTTTATGTTTTACAATCAAATGAGTGAAGGTGTACTCAGAAAGAAAGGGGAATGTCCAAAGGCGTTATCAAGCTCGCCGGGACTGCTACGTCTTGCTAGTAACCATATCGTCTTCTAGGAAGTACTGATCTCAGCATTGAAAATGAGTAGAGCACATGCAGCAATTCCCTCTACTTCCTGTCAGTCATGTTGTGGCGCCAAATTTGAAACTGTGCGGAAGGTTTGAATCTTTGAATTTCCGGATGTCGGACACTTTGTTTCGGATCAATAAAGCCCTAATTGGTTGACAATTTTGCAATCGTGCTGTGTTGTGATTGGCTGCGCCACTTTAAATATACAGGGTGTAATGATCGTTAAACACAGGTTGTTTGTGGTCGGCCCTTTTGCTTCGCGTTGTCATAATCGCACATTTTAGGGCGATAAATTTGAATTAGCGCGGGAGATTTGCATCTTTGTATTTCCGGATGGCTGCCATTTTGTGTGGATTTTGTTCCTGGGACCAATAGAGCATTAATTAACCCGCCATTATTGCAATCGTGATGAACCGTGACTGGTTGTGCCGTTTTAAATATACAAGGTGTAATGATAGTTATATACGGGGTGTTTGTGATCGGGGAATTTTGTTCCGGTGCAATAGGTTGTTAACTGGTCGGCCATTTTGTTCCTGTATGTCCATATTGAATCATATGTGTCGATATAAATGAAATTAAATATACAGGGTGTAATGATAGTTATACACAGGTTATTTGCGGTTGGCCATTTTGCTTTGCGTTGTCATAGTGGCACATTTTATAGGGATAAATTTGAATTTGTTTGAAATATTTCAATCTTTGAATTCCCGATGTCTGCCATTTTGTGTGTATTTTGTTCCTGGGGCCAATACGGCCCTAATTGACCCGCCATTATTGCAATCGTGATGAACTGTGATTTGTTGTGCCATTTTGAATATACAAAGTGTAATGATAGTTATATACAGAGCGTTTGTGATCGGGGGATTTTGTTTCGGTGCCCATAGGTTGTAAATTAGTCGGCCATTTTGTTCCTGTGCGGCCATATTGAATCATGTGGGTCGATATATTTGAAATTAAATACACACGGTGTATTGATACGTATTCGCAGGTTATTTTCGGTCAGCTATTTTGCTTCGCGGTGTCATGGGACATTTTATGGCGATAAATTTGAATTTGCGCGGGAAATTTGCATTTTTGAATTTCCGGATGGCTGCCATTTTGTGTGGATTTTCTTACTGGGACCAATAGGACCCTAATTGGCCGGCCATTATTGAGATCGTGATGAACTGTTATGGTAGCGCCAATTTAAATATACAGGGTGTAATGATAGTTACATACAGGGTGTTTGTGATCGTGAGATTTTGTTCCGGTACCAATAGGTCGTTAACTGGTCAGCCATTTTGTTGCTATGCGGCCATATTGAATCATGTGGGTCGATATATTTGAAATCAAATATACAGGGTGTAATGATAGTTGTATACAGGGTGTTTGTGATCGGGAGATTTTGTTCCTGTGCCGATAGGTCGTTATCTGGTCGGCCATTTTGTTCCTGTGCGGCCATATTGAATCATGTGGGTATATATTTGAAATTAAATATACAGGGTGTATTGATACGTATTCGCAGGTTATTTGCGGTCATCCATTTTGCTTCGCGGTGTCATGGCACATTTTATGGCGATAAATTTGAATTTCCGGATGCCTGCAATTTTGTGTGGATTTTGTTCCTGGGGCCAATAGGGCAATAATTAACCCGCCATTAATGCAATCGTGATGAACTGTGATTGGTTGCGCCATTTTAAATATACAAGGTGTAATGATAGTTATATACAGGGTGTTTGTGATCGGGAGATTTTGTTCCGGTGCCAATAGGTCGTTAACTGGTCGCCCATTTTGTTCCTGTGCGGTCATATTGAATCATGTGGGTCGATATATTTGAAATTAAATATACAGGGTGTAATGATAGTTACACACAGGTTATTTGAAGTTTGCCATTTTGCTTGGCGGTGTCATAATGACACATTTTATGGCGATCAATTTCAATTTGCGCGGGAGATTTGAATCTTTGAATTTCCGAATGCCTGCCATTTTGTGTGGATTTTGTTTCTGGAGCCAATGGGGCCCTAATTGGCCGGGCATTATTGCAATCGTGATGAACTGTGATTGGTTGTGCCATTTTAAATATACAATGTGTAATAATAGTTATATACGGGGTGTTTGTGATCGGGGGATTTTGTTCCGGTGCCAATAGGTCGTTAACTGGTCGGTCATTTTGTTCCTGTGCGGCCATATTGAATCATGTGTGTCGAGGTATTTGAAATTAAATATACATGGTGTAATGATAGTTATATACAAGGTGTTTGTAATTGGGGAACTTTGTTCCGGTATCCATAGGTCGTTAATCGGGCGGCCATTTTCTTCCTGTGCGGTCATATTGAATCATGTGTGTCGACATATTTGAATTTCAATATACAGGGTGAAATGATAAATATACACGGGGTGTTTGCTCAGGGTGTTATAATGGTGCTAAGTTAGTTTCCGGCCCTATGCGACCATTTGCGCATTGTAAATTTGAAATTTGAGAAAAATACATGCTCCTTTCTCTTAGCTATTATAAGATCTTTGTGTACAAGGAAGTATTTAACCGGGGGATCTGGGGGGTATGGAATACCCCCCCCCCCAGGAAAGAAAACAATACGTGTTCCTTTCTCTATGACTATCATAAGGTCTTTTTCTACTAGGGGGTATTTAACCGGAGGGCCTGGGGAGTATAGAATACCCCCCTCCCCCAGGAAAGAGATAGATATATGTTCCTTTCTCTATACTATCATAAGGTCTTTGTCTACTGGGAGTACTTAAATTAAATAATTTATACACAGATTGTTCGCTCCGCGGTGTCATAATGGCACATTGAATTTGTGTGGGAGATTTGAATCTTTGAATTTCCGGATGCCTGCCATTAATTTTAAATGTGACCTGGGCAATTATGCTATTCATTTCAGTGCGATCGGTGCAATTACGCAAAAGATACTGAAGCCACATAAGTTAATCCATGGCGATTCGTAGGACCCACTCACGACAACAATTTCGTCGAAATAGTAGCACAGCTTCTTTCGTAATGTGGCAATTAATTTCAACAATGTCACGTGCGATTACGCGGCAGATAAGATCTTCCGTATACTGTGATTATATTAATTCGCTTTTCAACTTTCGTTTGAAAATTCCACGTTCAACTTATCTAGGTTCGCCTTGAAGGTTCGGCGAAGAATCCCATTCTCCCACCCAATTTTTCCTAATATACTCGCCTAGTTACACGGTTACCTTTTTTATACTTGCAAAGGTATTACAGAAGAACCGTCTCTCCTCTGCTTATCTGAAAGCGCTTCATTCTGTCGCATTTTAGTTTAGTTCTCGTTCGCTATCTTTCTAAACTTAAAGCGGACTCCTGTTACATGCAAGTCAATAGCTGTTAAAAGCCGTGCTTTGAAAAGTGCTCGAAAGCTTTTGTGGTCTCTTAAGAATCTTTAAAGATTTCTATGGGACTCTCAAATCGCAAATCGTATCCAAAAGTTTGTAAAGACCATCTCTTCAAAAGTTTTCTTTTCTTAAGAGCCGAGCCTTGAAGAGCTTTTTGGTGATTCTTTGAGAGTATTTGAGAACCTGAGGTCTTCAAGGGTAGAGGGTATAATTCAAGCTTCGATCTTTAAAATGGAATTTAGAGTTTCAAAATTCTTCACACGCTTTGAAGAGCCTTTGATAACCTTGGCTAATTCTAATTTTGTATGTGTCTCTAATGGCCCTTAAGACCCTTTAAAATTTCAGGAAACTTTAAGAATCTTTAAGAACCGATCCTTTAAAGGTGCTTATTAATCATTATATTTAAGAGTCTTCATTTCTCCAAGATTATCTCCTCTGTTAAGGCGAATCTTTAAAAAGGCTCCCTCCAAGAAAAATAGAAAACTGGATCGCTTGTACGACGAGATGGTTAAACTATGACTTACTGTCGTATAAAATCACCTCTCGTAGCTTACAAACCTTTAGGATAATGAAGCTTTTACTTACCTCGACCGCGTTCAAACTCTCGCAGAAATAAGTGCAGTGAAAACTAAGTCTGACACTTGCAGGTATCTTGCACATGATCAAATCCACCTATGACAAGTACCAACGTCTGTTGAACAGCAACACCCACGCCTACGCTCGGAGTGAAAGTCAGATCTCTTAGTCCATGACCCTGACGACGGCGTACATTCATCACCTCATCTTGGAAACCATGTGTAAACGCATTGCGGATACGCCAGAAGGCTTCCTTCAAGTGCGACCAATGTGCATGTGTCAATCCACTGCACCTCCAAACGGTTC